TGACACACATTTGAATCTCAGCTAGAGACTCAGTACTACCGGGCAGAGCTCTGTTCTGCTGTTGGCCACGAGCATGCTCGTCTTGGGCAAAGGAGAGGAGCAAGCAGGTGGAGCAGTACAGTTTTTGACCACTGTGAAAGATTCATGACAACATGTCTGTCAGAGTCATAAGTCATATGTCCTTAAATAATTTCCTCCATTCAGTATCACTAATGCCAGTTATCATACCCAATTTTGTCTGGATAAACACTTACAGAGGATAGTAAAGAAGGAATTAATTTGACAGTCATGCAGTATGATGAGGTGCACAGTGACCATTCTGGAATTCATTGTTAAGAGGAGATGAAAAAAGCATATGTATCTTGTGCTACCTGTGGAATTATGTTGTTGTTGCTGTGTGCACCATGTGCTAACACAGGACAGGGCAGCTCTGAACAGTCTCTGCTGAGGGAATACATGACATCCTGGAAATTCTCCAAAAGCTCTTTCAAGCCATTTAAGTACAGGCTGTTCAACCAGTGCCTACTGCATTAAAAGATCTCTCTTCTGTAATCCAATATTTGCAGACAGTATCTGCTGAAGGCTGAGTAGGCAAGTCAGGGTAACATTCCTTTACTCACATAAACCCAGCAATGTGACCAGGACATGACTGCTTTGTAGCCAAAGAGTATATTAGCAATGAATAAGCAAGAGCTAGAGAATACACTATGCTTGTTTAAGCTTCTCTGCATCATGGATTTGACAGAGCCATCACAGAGTCTTACCTGTTCTCTTTCAAAATCAGGCTGTCATCAGACTAATCCTGAGCAAACACATTGAGAAGTCATAGGAAACATTTGTTGAAATACAGAACTCGCATTCATTTTTCCTGGTCCTTTGAGACATCTCAGAAAATCTGAAAGAGTTGTGTGGTTTTTTTTTTAACCTGGCATCCTATGGAAGTGGCAAATGTTCAGTTATACAAAGGAGGATGAGGATACACGACTAGAATTTTTTTCTCTATATTTTTCCATTCTTCATCCCCTGCCTCAGTATCGTTTAGACCTAAGGGTTATTTGCCCTTCTACCTCTATTCAGAAAACTAGACAACCACATTTTTCTGCAGACCACTATGCACTATTTGACCCCTGTCAAATTCTTGGCTTTCCACAACCAATGTCATCCATTTGGAAGATTAAAAGAACCATTTGTGAAGGATGGTGAATCTGACTGGCACAATCAGCCTGCAGTCTCTGGGGGTTCATTTCTTCCTGTCCTAAGTCATTGCAAAGAAGAAACAGAAGTGAAATTATGCTTCTTCAATAATCTACATCCACAGGAAAAAAAAAAAAAAAGAACAATGAAGTATTAAAGCAAAAGCCAAAGCAAATAGTTCAGAAACAGTCCATGAGCTGAAGCAAGTTCCCAGTCAGCTATGTGCTGTACAAGTCCAAATAATTAAAACAACTCTGAAAATGTTCTGCTCACTGATAATTCACAAAGAAAAAAAAAAAAAAAAAAAAAAAGACACATATGTCATATTCTTTAGTAAATTTTAAAAATGTTTTCATTTACAATGGCTATTTTCTTCTGAATGATCTAGTGACTGGAATGGCCAGACATATTCATGCACTTAGTACACAGAGGGACATGAGACTCCACCTTTTTCTTTAGTTGCTGAAGTTTTAGATTTAGGTTTGATTTAAATTTATTCATCATAGAATGCCTTAGGTTGGAAGAGACTCTAAAAATCATCCTTCAGGTATTGGAAGGCAGTTCTAAGGTCCCCCCAGAGTCTTCTCTTCTCCAGGCTGAACAATCCTAGTGCACTCAGGCTATTTTAGAGAGTAGTATAGTCATTCAACTCAGTGTTTTCCAAAGCATTATCTACCACTTGTGGGATAAGGAGAGGAACGAGAAGATGCTGCTGCCAGCTGTGTAGGGACTGACCTGCTGGAACTGCAGATGCTCTGCTCCTACACCCTCGGGATGAACAGTTATCAGGCAAGAAGACTCTCACACCATCAGTCACCGTGTGGTCTGGGTAGTCCTTACTCATGGGTGAGGCAGCTTTGGGATGGTCATGGAAGTTTTGCTTCCTGGTTCTCCATCGTGTCAGTCCTCAGCCGAGGTAAATCATCCTAGCTGTGTTTACACAACCAGAAGAGCTTACCACAAGCAGTGAGAGGCTGTGGTTTTCTGGTGATTCATATCAGATACAAATGTCATGACATTATTCTGCTGCGGTTCAGTACTCTGCAGTAAAGCATCCTGCTCCAAGGCTACTTCTGCTCTTCTTAACTTGCAGATAGAGCAGTGGAAGTTGTGCTAGTCTGCAAACAGGAAGGAAAAGTACAACTTGTTGCAGGGTAAGACTGTGTTCTGAAGCTGGAATGAAAGACAAGCAGTGCATTACTAATGCATATATATAATGCTACTGTACAGTGTCTTGCTATCGGTTGGGGGTTTCCTTTGACTTTGCTACAGATCTCCTCTCCTCTCTTCTCCTCTCCTCTCCTCCTGACTTGCAGGACTGAAAGTTCAGAGCAAATAATGTCTTTGATTTTATTTTTTTTTTCCTTTCCAGGAGTTTTGCTTATGATGTTTTTTTCTTCAGGATAACCTAATGACAGGAATGGCCTAGCGAACATAGTGTTTGAACACTGGGATTGTATATACAGGTACTCCACCTTGGGATTGGTGTACTCAAGGACTCAGCTCTCTACCTGCTTCCTTATCTCCAAGAGTGAAGATCCTAAGATATTACTGGTCAACAACTGTCAAAGCCTGGAGCAGTCTGGTCTCTAGGCTCCTAAATGGCTGCCAAAAAATCCCCACAGAAGTACAATGCTTGCAGCTGGGTACCCCCAGAACTTCCTAGATCTGACACTCAAGAACTATGTAGGCTTCTTGGGACTTGCCATGTGTGTACCTTACAGAGCTCAGTGTCACAGGGTTTCTTAAGACTGGCAGAAGAAGTGATAAGACACCTGTGCACTTTCACTTCAGCATTCCAAAGCAGTGTTCTTTGAGTTGTAGGGCATGAACCTCAGGTTTACAAAATTACATTAAAAATTCATGGAGCACACGTGCTTCCCTGCAATGAAATAGGCAATCAGAAAAAGTGAAGGAAAATTGAAAATTAAGAGTCAAGAATTTGAATGTTAACATCTTCTGTGTGTGGTTGTAACTGGAAACCTGTGTGACAACACAGCATAATACCACCAGGAAATTCTTTAAAAAAAAAACTAGATGGGCCCTGCAATTATAATGGCTTGAGAAACCTTGCTTCTCAAGCCATTATAATTATATAATGTAACTTGTTTGCATTGTAGTGGATAGGGAACCTTCTTGGATTAAGACAAGTACTTAGATCTTGGACTTCTCACACAGGAGAGCTAACCATTTACATAAACAAGCAGTTTTAAGCCTCTCATGCCATCCCTTACCACCCCCTGCGGTATGTGCTCACTACTTCTTGACATTCATTCTTGGTGCCAGGGGAATGTCTGTGGTCAGCTTGTTGTGTGCCTCCTTAGGTACCAAGATAGACGCATTTATAGTGTAGAATATTGTGTGGCAAACTGCAGGACTGCATTCCGTGTGCAGGGCTACACGGTGCTGGGAGGCTAAGCACAGTAACGGTGAGTGTTATGATGCCAAAAGTCCTTTCAGCAGTGCAGGCCTTGGTGGCTCTCAGGCCAAGACCTGGCCTACAGACCCAAAATTCTTACTTAATACAGTTTTTTCCTTGCCAAAGCTCTAGAGAAGCAAAAGCTTTAGAGCTCAGAAAGGTGCCAAAATGATATGAGTCAGAAATAATTTCTAAACCCCATTAAAAAAGTTGACCTATATATAATAGACATGTTATGTGGACACCACTACTACCTTGTTTGTTACCCATAATCTGACCTCTTCAGTGATCTAAAACTAAACACTAAGTGTGTGTTGGATACAATTGCCTACACAAGCATCTGGCTATTTCAACATCTCCAAGGTACCACACCCTCTCCCCTTGCCACAAAGAGATCAGGAGCTGCTCAAACTAAATTCCTTTATTAATGGAATGGTTTCAATAGACCAAAAATGAAATGGATGAAAGGAATGCTTGTCCTTTATGGCTTCCAGAAAAAGTAAATATTGTCTACAGACATCATACAGTTTCTTTTAACCAAAATTAAATATGGTTCATAGCAAAGCAAGCAATCTGTAGAAATATATTGTTATGCTACTATTACAAACTATTTACATTGGACAAAAAAGAGGTGTCTCAAAGCCAGCTTTAACTTTAGTTGATTACTGTTATGATTCTGTGTATTTTGCCCTCATCTCCCCTTTTTGCTGTTATATATATATCAGGCATTAACAAGGTTAAAAAGTGAGCGATCACAAAACAATCACAAAACAAGCTCTGAGTAGCAGAGACAGGGAGTGAGCTCTCTTCCTCTTCACCCAGCATTACTACTCTGTCACCCTCCTTCGAGATTTAAGGAGGAGTTCACCACCTCCTTGCAAGCTCTTCCTACATCCAACCATTTGACTCTCCAACCAACTTACTTTCAGTGCCAGGAATCCCCACAAAGGCAATACCTAGTACAAGAATATGCATTTTAAATTTACATATTTTAAAGGAGCATATTTTCTTCTAGCAGTACTGTGTGCTGTCTCTGTGAATGCATATTCACAGTAAAACCATGTAAAATAAATATTTGAAGGAATTACCACAGTGCATCCAGTTTCACTTTCCAAACAGAAAGTGGTGTGTCTGCTTTTAGTGGTGGTATAAGGCAGAGACTTAATACAAATACAACTTTGCAAAGTCACGATCATGTGCAAATAAATCCTGCCTAATTATAAAGGACTTGATTAACAGCCCAGCCAAACAAAAGAATAGGTTTACTATACACCAGAACTATTTGCTGAAAAGGACTTCACTGCTGGTTTCGTAGCAGACATACAGCACAAAGAGTGTATTTTTTCAGTTTGCAAAAAGGATTAAGCAGAATAGTTTGTCCAATCAGTCAAACATTGCTCTGCTGTAGCAACATCGTTCTCAGTTCTCTCTCTCTTTGATCCTCCTGCCTGTATTTCTCCTCTAGTTTTTGTTTTTCAGAGTCCATACTATAAAAGGTGGAATCTGTGCTTCTCCTAATCTTCTCAAACTGACTGAAATCTGCAACGTACTTTCCATTTGGAGAGAGAGAAACCACAGGCACGAACTCATAGCCCCAGTGGATCTCCTCGGGGATGTAGGAAGTCCTGCTTTGGCAGACAGCACTGGTGGACTCCACTGTGGCGTTCAGGAGCACCACAAGCTCAAACTCCTTCTCCTTGAGATTTTGAGGTGTGAGATCTCTCAAAGGACTGCTTTCATCCAAAATATGGTAGAAGGTTAAAGGTAAAATGAGAAATGGACTCTCTGAAGAGGAGTCAACGTTGAACTTGACACTGGCTTGATTCAGCAGGGTGCGCTCCCCTTCTTTAGTTTCATATGTCTGAAGGAGCTTCCCAGACAGCTGACACTGTATCAGAAGGCTTTTCCTCATATTTGCTACTCTGATCACCAGACAAAGTTCACCATTGTGTTTAGTAATGACAGCACAATGGCTGAATTTAATAGTCTCTGCCCTTTTTTTAGGTCTTGCAATTTTGGCCAGAAAGGTACCTGTGATGAAGATTTCAATCAAGGTGGTAATAACCAGTTGGGCCACAAGTAAGAAAATGGCATGAGGACACTCCTCTGTAATGAAACGAAATCCATAGCCAATGGTTGTCTGTGACTCCAGGGAGAAGAGGAATGCCCCAGTCAGAGAGTCTACATTCTTGACACACGGCTCATGCTTTGGGGTGAACTTGTTTATTTCTAAATCACCATGAAGGAATGCAATGGCGTAGTAGATAACTCCAAAGAGGAACCAGGTCATAACAAAAGTGGCAGCAAATAAGGTGAGTTTGTACCTCCACTTCATGTCTATAACTGTAGTCCACAAATCTTGAAGGTAGAGTAGGTAAATGCCATCAACTTTGTCTATCCGCACGTTGCTGTGACCGCTTTTGGACATCACGCGGGGTTTGTGTGCCTTGAGCATGGCAGTGTCGATGCCTCCATTAACCAGTGGGATTCGGGACATATTAATCTTCGTGGTTTCCATTCTTACTGCTTCAGTCCTAAGGAGAGAATAAAAGAAGACTGTTACTTAATGAAATCAAAGCACATAACTGATTCTGTAAAGCACTTGAAAATGCTGGTGGAGAGAAGGTACAGACATATCTAAACACAGCAGCAGCGAATAAAAACAGTTGGAATACAAAGTTACCCTCACACAACACCATTATTACAAATAATTTGATATTCTTTTTTTCCAGGAAAAAAAAAAATAATTCTTTGATCCTGATGACTGCCAAATATGGAGAAATAGGTTTCTTTTATGATAGCCTGCAAAAGAAATTTGACAAAGCTGAAATTTTATATTAGTACTTTATTTCTGTAAAATACATTAAAATTTTTTCCTTACGTTTCTCTAGAGAAGAGTCTCTTTCTGATTACCGAGCAGGTTTTCTTTAACGCCCTGAAGAGTGACATCTGATCAAAATTAAAGTCGCGTCAGTGCTTGGTTTAGAACGCAAATCCAGCACACCACCTCTGTCTCTTCCTGCGACAGAGGCAAAATGAGCCAGACCAGCTTTCACTGTGAACAATTAACTTCCACAAGTGATTTACTCAATCGGATCTGGTGCTTTGTTACAAACCTACAACTAACCTAGAGGGAAACAAAGCAGACCTGAACACATCAAAGTCGAGTTTTGGAAAGGAATATTTACAACTGAAAACACTTCGAAGCTGTTTGCACTGCACAGCACTCCGATTTTAAGCTGTCTAAGGAAAGAAAAAAAAAAAAAAAGGAGGCAATTCACAAAGTCAGCATTCTAGCCGTGGGCCCTGACCTGCGCGAACCCAGCTGTCATTGGACCACCCGACTCCTGAAGTTTGTTTACTGTGCATCAGTCCGGATGGAGATTAAGTGTGCGGACACTCAGGACTGAACAAATCCCACAGAGTGAAGCAGAACGGTGCCTGTGCCAGTTGGATGAGGCAAGCAACAAAACCCAGCTTGCAGGACCAGACAGTGATTACGTAGAGCAAGGACAGTGCATGTTATAGTCGTTTCCGACAGCAAAACTTCCTGCTGACAAAAACAACAAAGAAAAAAAACATCCCATGCATCCTTTATGCTTTGGCAGGTCGTACAAAAAGCATTGTTTTGTTCCATTGTTTTCCTCAAAAAGAGCCTGCAGTGATTCGTTTTTGTGAATCACTGGGAAAAAAAAGTAATTAAGAAAAAAGAATGTCTTCCTTATAGCTACTTAAAAGAATTTTGCAGGAAGTACAAGATATATTTGTGGTCCACACATGTGCCAGTCCAGGACAACAGCATAATTGCTCCCTAAAGTACCTTTCCTGTTATGTCAATTAAGGAGAATTTTTGTTTATGACTGTGGCCATCACACTGTTGCAGGTTTTCTGGGAAAGGGCAATTAACCTTAACTCCCATTAACACCTGTATCTCATTCCAGTTTTGGTTGAATCACCAATATTTCTCTTCCATAGCCTAGAAGCCATTGCCAGATATATATAATACAGAGAGACAATATAGGTCTATAGAATAAAGGAATGCATCAACGATCACAGTAGGAGATTCCTTAAGTGACAGTCAAATCAACACATAGTGCGTAGCACGTCCGGATGATAAACAGGAAAAAACCTTCAAGTGATCTGTAAAAGAACAACGGGAGGAAATGGGGGGTGGGGTGCCAAGGGTGGGAGAGTTGGAGGGATGGAGGAAGGGGAGGAACAGTGATCAGAAGGAGCGTACATGCAACTGCTCTTCAGGCAAACTCAAAATCAAGCACTACTGTCAGTGCTTGGTAAATACATTCAACCTGCAGTGGAAACCTTTTTGGAAAAGGCATACTACTTAGTGAAGTGGCTCTATACCCCACAACAGGCCTCACCTTGTATAAGCCATGGATATAAAATATACAGAAAAATCTGCCTCAAAATAAGAAGAGGCTCTTGCCCTCAAGCATGCTTCCTTTTAGCCATTACCTTCCTTTTAGCCATACCAGGCACAAACATTGTGTTGTTAGAATAAATTTCCCTGCCACAAATTGAGAGGTCAGGAGACAGCTGGCTTCTCCAGCCAAGTACTGGAGACACAGTCTTGTCTCCCAGCTCAGCCTACCTGGATGCTTGTTCCTGAGAGCAGTTCCCAAGGGCTGCCAGGTCTTCCGCCTCTGGAGGCCGCAAGGATGAAGACAGTCAAGGTTTCACCTTTCCTCCGCAGTGCTCCAACTGGTGGGCATGAGCTGGCAGGGCAGGTACAGGGTCTACAGGCTTGGCAAAGATCAGCCTTACCTAGTCAGGGTCAGGGGTAGCCCTAGGTGAAGGGGTCATGGACACTCAGCACATCACACTCACTATGGCTCTACCATGCCCAAGAAACACTGACTTCCGCACAAGTCGTCAGCATATGCTTAATAAATCTGGGAAGTCAGGGATGCACTGGACATGTTGTGCACAGCAGCTCTGTCCCACAGGCACTGCAGCTCTGATATTTCCTCCATATTCCAGACTTAGTGTGCATACACTGCACTGTTCATCTGCAGCACCAGCCGGGTCCACAGTTTCAACCCACTCCAGGGCCTGGCAAGAGCTCTTGCCACTCTCTTTGCTCCAACTTGAAATATGTGTCTGGGAACCCTGAACAGAGCAAATCCTGACACTGCACTCTGCTGCATTTCCAGACCTGGTGGAGGGCAACTAACATTGCAGACATACCAAAATTCTTTAGCAGATGCTCTAGCACAAAATAGGAGGTAGGAAGGTAGTTGCAAGGCACAATATCTTCCCTGGGCTATGCCACATGAAGTACAGCTGTAAAATTTGCCATTTCAGGCTTAACTTGGAAGTAAAGCTTTGCTGCAGCCCTAGGCAATGTCTGGCATGCTCCAGACTGTGTTTCAACTCACAGTCAGCCATTTCTCTATTGTCTCCATGCATAAAGTTGATGTCCACTTGTGAGGTCAGCATGGCAGAGCTGTTAAGGCTTGGAGTTCAGCATAGATAAAAGAGGCTGTATCAGAACTCCACTGTCACCTTTTGTGTCCTCCCTTGATGTGTATTTCTCTGTGACAAAGTTACTCAGCTTTACAGTGATTTCCTGAAACAGATCACAGCCAATTTCTGGTGCTTTTTTTGGTAGTAGGGTATTTTTTGTGTTGATTTGCTTCCTATTTTTTCCTCTTACATCACTTTTTCCTGTGTGATTCTGAATTCTTCTAGTGCTCTTTTCCTCTCCAGGGAAATTGATCTTGGTTTCCTTTCACTGCAGAAATATTTCCCATCTTCCCTGCCACAGTTATGCGGGAAGAAGAGGATCTGTCATGCTGCCTTGGAGCAGTGTTGCCTCTGCTCCCTTCCCTTATCACTGGCAGCTGCCAGCAGCCAGCAGCAGTCATCTCGGGGAAGAAACTCTGATGAAACCAACAATGGAACAAACCTGGACTTCAGAGGAGGGTTGTCCCCTGTTGTCCACTTCCCCACTGCTTCCTGAGTGAAGTGACCAGTACAATATCTCACAATAATTGGTTCATGTGTGTCCATATGTATAAAACACAAAATTATAACATCTGCATTAATATTTCTCATCTTATATAGACACCTCTGATAGTCTACATCCTAACAACCATCCCCAGCATCTCAGCCAAAATATTTTGGTTTGTTTAGTGTCTATTCTTTTCCCTCTGAATCAGAAAGCATGTTTACCACATTAAGTTAATATAAGCTAACAAGCTTGAATAATAATAGTAGTATACATCTTTAAATGAAAAGAACATCAACTGTCCAGTAGCTAACTGATTTTATACTGATAAGGTATTTTTATCACTGTAAATAACCCTACTCAAACTGTAGCTGCAAATAAAAGTAAACTGAAGTACAGTTAATGAAACAAATACTTCAAGAGGGAAGAAAATGAAAATGTCTTAGACTTGTCTAGCACTCTAACATCCTATGAATTACCTCCTTTCTCACTATCCCTTTGGAACAGCCAAAGGAGACTCCCTGTCAGAGCACACACTGATAAGGAAGCTTAGTGCAGACAAAGTCAATAAAACATAGAGCTACATACCAAACCACCAACCATGAACACCTTGATATTAAGGTAATTCCAGCAGCCAGGGATATAACAAGCATACTAACACTGCTTCCAGAGACCACATTATCAAGAAGTCAAAGCCAGCTTGCATACACACAAAAATGTTCCTGTTGCATGAAGCCAGATTTGCTTGTGCAAGATGTCTTTTGGCAGACACAACTGATTAAAAGTGTACAGGAGCATGACTTGTTCGAATGGCCTCAGCTGTTTGCTTTTTTTCAAATCAGATATGCTTTGCCACTTGAGCAAACCCTCACACATGCTTCACTGCAACTCTGACACAGGGGCAAAACTTGAACTGTTTTTTCAACCAGCATAAACCATTAGCAAGCTTGGCATTAAAAAGAAAAAAAAAGCAGGGGTGAGGAAAGAAAACATTGAAAAGAACCACATAATCTTTAGATCTTTCCTAGGTCTGATGTGGTTCAGTAGGCTATAAAAGTCCCTTCTGAATTCTCAGTGCTCTGCCTAGCATGAACACCCTCCTCCCTTTGGGCTATGCACCAGGTTGTGCTGCGCAATTGTCAACCAGCAAAATCCTCCTCTGTAGCTGAGCTATGCAATACAAAAGGAAAGAGCAGAGGTAGAAGGAGGGAAGCAGTGGTTGAGAAAGGATGCTGCACTTCCACCACCAGCTACAGCATGTAATCATACAGCTGGACACTGCTAACCTGGATTTCATAAAAGAATCCTTCAGCAAGAAGACTGATCAATGTTGAGAGTGGTGATATGTAGGCTGGCAGACAGCCATATTGTGAAAGATTCTGCCTTTAAAAACTAGATTAACATATTTTTATTTTCCTTCACAAAAGGAATGAGCCAAGAGAACTGTAAATACTCCCTCAAGTCAAAATCTGCTCCCAAAGATGTGCCTTTAGCTCCTCATCCATCCTTAGAGCCACCCATCAGCACTTGTGAATGGTGATTCTTCCAAG